GTGAGGGTGCTACAGTAGTCAGGTCGGTCATTCCCTGCCTGTCATCCGCTTCAGGGCACCGAACTGGCTCCTCTAATAACACCAGAGGCCATTCTCGAGAGGCTGGTTCCCTTAGTAGATTTTCTGGTAGCGTGGAAACTTCCGGCAAATATCTCAAAATGGGTCTTGCAGATTGTAGAGAAAGGTTACAGAATCCAGTTTGGTTCTCGTCCGCCTCGTTTAAACGGGGTCATCCCCACACTATTGTGCCCCGAGCAGGCTCTGGTAATGGAACAAGAAGTAGATACTCTCTTGAGGAAGGGGGCCATAGAACGTGTTCCGCCTCTCGAGAGAGCGTCCGGTTTCTACAGCCGTTACTTCATCATTCCGAAGAAGGATGGGGGGGTTGCGGCCGATCTTAGATCTCCATCTTCTGAACCGCGCTATCAAACGCCTTCGGTTCAAGATGCTCACTATCAAGCAGATAGTATCTCAAATCCAGTCCGAGGACTGGTTTGTTACGATAGATCTCAAAGGCGCTTATTTCCATGTTTCCATTCTCCCTCAACACTGGAAGTTCCTAAGGTTTGCTTTCGGGGGCGAAGCATACCAATATCGAGTTCTTCCCTTCGGCCTGTCACTCTCACCCCGCACTTTCAAGTGTGTGGATGCTGCTATGGCTCCTCTGCGACTCCAGGGCATCTGCATACTCAATTACATTGACAATTGGTTAATACTAGCTCAATCGGAGCAGATGGTGGCTCGGCATCGAGATGTCGTCCTCGCCCATATGAGAGAGCTGGGGTTAAGACTAAACGTCAAGAAGAGTGTTCTTTCTCCACTACAGAGAACCACTTATTTAGGCAAAAAACGAGACGAAATGTGGCTTACAAAATAAAAACTATGCTAAAATGTCTCCATTTTTGTTGACCAAAACGAGACGAAACGAAATGTTATAACGTTATTTCGTCTCGTTATTATTATTATTTTGCAGTATTTCTGTTTCCTGTGTCTCGCTTCTGGGGCTGCATCAGGTCGCACTGCGCAGACAACACTTCCTCAAGCCCACTCGCGGAATTATTTAGAACAGTGTTTCCCAACCGGGGTCTGTCGAGAGCAGGGGTGCCGTGTAAAAAATAAAATTGTTTAAATATTTGTAAATTGCTAAAATGTTCTAAAAAGCAGGTAGTATATAATATCCATTTCTAATGCCGCCAATAATTAGAGATGCACAGAAATTCCGGCTGCCGAAAATGAGTTCACCGCTCAGGATTCACTTGTGTGTGTGTGTGTGTATTATCCATAGACTATATGGTATTATCCCGCTCTATGCGTGTGTGTGCTCCGCTCAGTCCATTCATATACCGTTCATGCTCATCGGAACAGCAAAGTCCACTCAAAAATCAAGCTGACAGGAAACATCGATGTAGTACAGTATTGTTTCTGTCTGCAATAGCCCTACTGTGCTGTAACAAGGTGTGGTAAATGGGCAACTCTGGTAATGCTGCCCTCTCATTCATTGATCTGCTAACCGTTATGCTCATGTGTCCTCTGATAATAATAGCTTTCTAAGATTAAACATTATTTGGATAATTGGTAAAAAAATAAATAAATTCTCTTAATAGCCCTACAAAAACACACTGAGTGAGCAAAACTTGGTTTAATTACCATTATAACTATCTCACAATGTTTACATATGAATAAAAGCCTATATTAAAATCTGTCATATAAATTGGTCTCTTCATTAGAAATTAGC